AGTTTGATTTTGATTAAATTATTCAACTGTGCTCTGATCTACCATGTAACTTATATTTAGGCCACTTTGGCATTGTGATCACTTGAATATACAGCTATACATTCAAAATCTGATCTCTCATCGTGCTAAAAACCCGTCAACTCATGAATCATCACGTCTGACTGAAGTGCGGCAGGCAACGTCAACATCAGCATCAGCCGAATCTGCAGTGGGTGTGTGTGTTAGGTAATGTCATGATGACTGATTGGATGCAGTACATGCACAATTGGGTTTTGTTTGTTAACCAATTAGCCTATACAATTTAGATGTTTGAAAACCCTAAAACTGACCCCAAACCAGCCCAAATTTTGTCCACCCGCCCAAATCAATTTTTACCCGCACAATCACATTCAAATCTGTCCAATCTGGCAGCACTGAATGTCCTAAAACATCAGATTTGCCTCCCACTGCATCACAGAGAGCAGAATAGGCTGATATATGACCCTGCATGACTAACAGAAAAACTGCCTCTGCATTCCTGGCACTTCACACTGGAGGTCTTTCTCTGTTAAACTGTCATCAGTAGCCCTGAAAGGGAACACATTTCAGATGGCTGTGGAGTTTCAATGAAAGCGGCCAAAATTATGCTCAGTAGTGAGGCTCCTAGAGGGGCGATTAACACAGGATGTTGTGGAGAGGCTTAAAGGATGCAGGTCAGTGGGTGGTGGCTGGCCAATCTGTTGCTGCAGTGGGGCAGGGGCTAAATACTCTTCTTCTACTAGGTCAGCTAAATTCCCTCCCCCAATTATCCAAAAACCACACCTTTTCCTCCACAAACCCAACCATTCTGCAACAATAACTCAAGGTCCCAAATGCTATCCCTAAACCTTTGCGGTCTACCTCCAAATCCACACATTGCTGATGTAATGTTGCATTAACTGTTGCATCAGTGCTTCTGCTAAGTGGGCGGTCTTGAGATCCCTAAAATATCCAATTGGATGTACCACGGTCTCACAGGCACACGAGCCATGGCAGGTCCGCAAGACCATAAGTACATATCAAGAGCGCCATTTGGAACATAGCCTAAGACGTACAGCCTTAAGGCTTTCTGCTTCCTGTCTCAGTAGTCGGAAAATACAAGGGCAGTAAGTGGAAAAAGAGACGAATGTGAACGAAGTCCAAAGTTCCAATGGAACCCACATGCTGTGACTGAGGTAGATGTTAAATTTGGATCATGAGATGTGATTTCTGCTTGAAAAGAGTTTGTCATAAGCTTTGAATAACATCCACTTGATTATCAGCAATCAAAATGCATTTTGCTCCATTCTTCTGGATCTATCATTTGAGTAGGGTAAGAATTGGCAAAGAAGGCCTCAAGTGGCATGTTGTTACTAGTGTTATTATTTTTTTTTATGTAATACTTATTGTAATTTGTGGGGTTATAAATAGAATAGTTGATATGGTATTTTACATGAATGACACTTTAAAGATTATATATATATATATATATACAGTATATAATAAGTATCGCTTTTTATTTCTCCTCTTTCCTAATACTTGTTTCACTTCTGTTTCAGTTTTTATAACCATTTCTTACTATGTAAGTTGTTGTTTTTTAGCATGTAAGTTTGGCAGTGTTGGGTTTCTTGCCCCAGTTAGAGCGCTTTCTTACCCCAGGAGTGGGGTAAAATGGCCTCTCTAAATATTTTTACACAATGTTCTTTGTTCTAATTTAGCAAATGTTTCTATTTTTCCCTTAATAGCACACTGGCTGGTGCATCATCATCCTGCACATAGTAAACTTGTTATGATAATGTTACACATGCACATTGTTCTTGGTGGGGGGGAGGGGGTACGTTTTGAATCAGCACTAGCTGATTTGTTGAACTATAGCAATAGCTATAGGCATAACTGTCGCTAAAATTCACAGGGCCCAAATTCTTATGGGTGGACCCCTCTCCTCTGGACCCAATAAAGGACCTTAGAGCCAACCATCCTCCCCATGCTAGTTTGTACCATTTTACTGACTGTAATGTGATAAACAGACCAAACCATCACTGTACAATAAAACAATGAGTGAGCAGCTGAGACACATGCTGCAAAGAAGCCAAAACGTCTATGAAAACATTATAACAGTGATTAAGCTAAATAAAAAAAAACATTGACTCAACTATAAAATGTGTGGGACAGACTATATGGAAAGACTTTTACATAATCGCCATGGCAAAAACTAAAGCTCCATTCTAATCACATTGAAATAAAGTCTACATCCCAACCCCACTGCTGCTGCAAACAAACAGAGGAAAGAAAGGTGGTCAAGTTTCTACAGAGATTGGCTATTCTGTAATGCTTTTCCTTGGCATGGCTGTTCCCTAATGCCTGGTGTATAAAAACAGCTCAGCTGGCAGAGATGTTGATTATACTCATTACAGATCAACCTTGTAAATGCTACATAGCTGTCTGACTGCAGCATCTTAATAACTCCACATCACACTGCACACCTACTTCATGCCTAAACAGAACTGTCTAATAGGTTGCTATGTGACTATGCTTCTCCAAATACAAAGTTTAGGTATTCAATTCAATTCAATTCAAGTTTATTTGTACAGCACTTTTCACGATACAAATCATTGCAAAGCAACTTTACAGCAAATTGAGTTTCTACAATATTTAGTGGTAGCTTATCAGTGGTGACTGTCAGTTAATGTACATATGGCAGAAATGTACGGAAAAATCAATTAAAGACGTAATCAAACAGACGATGAACACTATTAACAGCAATTATTATATGATGCAATCAAACTTATAGCAAAATGTGGTAGTTCTGTATGTTGTTTCAGGGTTGGCATCACCTGAGGTCCTCTGAGGTATATGTTTAAAAGATTAGCTCACCCAAACATTATTGCCAAATCTGTAGAACTTTATCTTTAGGGAACACAAAAGAAGACATTATAAATAACATACTTTTTGTCATCAATTATAATGACTGTGGACAGGCGCTTTTAAGTTTCAAAATTCAAATGCAAATCACTGATAATCTCAGTCTCGAGTGTGCTGTTGCAACTGGATCATTGAGTCCAGTCAATGTGCTGCATGTCCCGAAAGCATCATAAGCCTAAGCAGATCGTAGAAACCATTGGCACCAGTGGTCTCTACGATCTACTTAGGCTTACAATGCTTTTGGGTAATGCAGCACAGATCAGTCTAGCGAACAAATTATTTGGATTTCTGTGAACTATTCAGGTTGTGTGAACTGGATCAGGTGAATCACTGAAAAGATCAGACTTCAGTGCATTCTTAAATCATTTTTGTGCCAGAAAGCTTGAATCAAAGTGTATAACTGGTTCTGTTGTTCATGAATCGGAGAGGCAGGGCAGATGTAATGATTTTCAATGAATGACAACTTAAATTTCTGCCTGTTCTTGGAAAATAGTTCACAAATAGTATGGACAACATATTACTTTTATGGTAATTTTGTGGAGCTTGCTGAACTTTCATTATAATGAAAAGAGTGCCCAGTATATATTTCAAAAACTCACATTTTGTGTTAAATAGAAGAATAAAGGTTACATGACTTTGGAATGGCACGAAGATGAGAAAATAATGACAACATTTTTATTTTTGGTTGAACGATTACTTAGACTTTCACTCAGTTTCTCTCTAACTTTGACATTATGGCTGATCATGCAGTTTTCATGAGAACGCAGAACAAAAATTAAGGAAAAGCATTTGAGGATGTAGAGTTTATTCTACTCTTCAGGGACTGATTCATCCTGTAAGAGGGGTGGTGAGTTTAATAGTGGGTAGGTACAGAGTTTTACAAGAACACAAGGACCAGAGGGCAAATGATGCAAAGCATCATTACTTTTTCCATCCCTTTGCTGGAGTTGGAGACTAAATGTCCAAGATACATTTCCACACCACACCCAAAGAGTTTGCCTAGAGGGCACCAGCTAAGCAACAAGATAAGGTCATGGTCAAACAGAAAAAAATAAGTGTGTTGGTAAAAAATTGTGGGAAAAAAATGTCCATATGTGGATTCTTCAGTAAGGAAATGCTTTCCAGATGTGGTCAGCTGATCCAAAAGGTCACAGAGGTCTTTAAGTGAACCTGAATATTGTTGCAAGGAACTAGTGGCACTAATCACAAACCTTTTACCCTTAATATGAAACATCTTTTGAAACATAAGAAATAAGATGACTTCAATTACAATATCAGTTAACTGTTTAATAATAATAGATGAGTATAAATAAAAACAGCAAGAATGACTAAACCCCTGCACCATATACTTTCAAAAAGAAACCTAGCTGTATGTGTCTTTTTCATTAAGAACTGAAAACCGAACTATTGGAGGACAATGCTGGATCACATATGGTGTAGTATTTAAGTGAGTATTTGAGTGATCAGCACAATTTGAGCTCTGCGTGTTTGAAAATACATCCCCGAGGCTATTCGGGCCATTTACTGGGTGTGACGTGCCAGAGCAGGTTCTGACGTCAGCAGTCTGGGACATTCTCTCAGCTTTTTCGTTTGATCTTTGCTTAGTGACGTCACGCCGCTGTGCAGGGATCCAAACATGAGGATGCTGTTGCACTAACGCTATTTGTACAGAAGCAAATGCTTGTTTACCACCATAATTAACCTACAATTGAAGTCTTTCAATCATGTAGGTCATGCTAGCAACAATGCCTTGATTCAGACTGCGACGAATAATGTGTTTTTGTCATTCACAAGCGCTTAATAATTGGGAGGAGAAGGGGTACAATGTTTCCCATTCACATTATTAAAGGACACGAGCGTCATCATATTCGTGTTCATTTTTCCTTACTGCGTGCGGGAAACGGAGAGTTAGGACAGCACAACCGACAAAACCCCTTTCATTATTCAGCAAGATCATTGGGAATTCCCATTAGACTTACATTTTAAATTCTCCAGTACTTAAGAGTAAAAGGGCGACATTTTGCGCAGCATGATAGAGCTACGTCTATAGGAGCACGTGAAATGTTGGTTATCTGTCTTACCTCTCGAGCTATTTGACTGAGAGCATCATCCTCCGCCGATAGTTTCTCCCGGTTGGGAATTCTTTTCCTCCCCGCTACTTGCGTTGCCATTTTAAATTCCCTTATACTCTGACACAAACCTCTACAAAAAAATGACCTCGCCAAATTGAAGTGCTGTCCAGTTGTGTACAGATCAAAGAGCACCATTCGGTGTGGCATGGTCGTAAGTGAGCAACATTAATAAATGGTTATATTGTACAAGCACACATATGTAGAGCACTAGGACACATCCTCCTTTTGATGCCCCATCGTCTCCATAAACCGCATGAATATATGGCGGGAGCCTGTTGCACATTCAAACAACACATCGATATGTCAAAACATCACGGATAGGATGGAAGATGACAGTTTGCTGATACGCCATGAGTACGATAGACCTAGGCATTCCTGGGAATATAGCCGGTCATCCCTTATTCCTTCCTACGGTAGTTCAGTACGTCAAATCAGGCAAATGAAAAATAAAGTAATCGGTCCAAAGCTGCATTTGTTTCTAGGGCAAATCGAACCCGGATGATGAGCGGCCCTCGGATGAGAATATACAGCAGCCCAATGCCACACGTCTGATGTGCTGGACTCTGCGCGAATAGTGGGCGGGACCTGACCTTTGGATTTTAATTATTTCCGTCTTCTTGCATATTAGGGCAAGTTCGCAAATAAGATTCATTTGTCATTTCATCGATCTATCTATCTATCTATCTATCTATCTATCTATCTATCTGTCTGTCTGTCTGTCTATTGAACCTTGTTCCTTTTTGATTAGATGGAACGACGTATCACAGTGTGGTCTGGGCTGGTGCATTAGCTCCATCAAGAGGCTTTATTAGACAATACAATTTATGTTGCTACTTGTGCATCGTTTCATGTCACAATTTCCATGGTCGTTGTAAAAACAGTCCCTATGTGGTTAAAACTTTGTATAGACCGTTTCTGACTGTATGTGTTATTTTTGAACCTCAAAAATATCAATGTTATTGTCTTATTTGCTGTGTTTTAAGACTTTATTCATTCAAATAATGTAATCTCATAACTAACTATAATATAATAATTTTAAGTCTGGTCCATTTAATTACAGGAAGAATAAAATAAATGCAACTACATGCAACTACAATTGCAAGGTTCATGCTGTATAAGATTAAACGCGTTAGTCTTCGTTATCCTGCAGTCAAGACTCTAGAGTATGGGATCAGATTCCCGCCAAATGTATTGCAGTCATGGAAAAAAAAAAAAAAAGCGTGACACCAAAATTTAAAACCGCAAGTAAAATTATATTGCACAAAATTAAAAAATGAAAGTTTTCAGAATAGCAAACAATGGCCACGGATAAAAAAATAAATGTAAATCAAAAATGTAATAACGCATTAAAAAAATAATAAGCACGAATCAAAACTTTAAACACATTTAAAATCATATTGCACAAAACTGAAATATTAATGCAAAATTATCCGAATTGCACACAAAATCATGTTTTCCTTGGTTATATTTCTGTTTTTTGTGCTCTCAGACATTTTCTGCACATATTTTAAATTTTTTTGTATGCTTATGCTGTTTTTCCCTTGGCTCTTTATTCCACGTTCTGCGCTTCTTCTTCCAAATGTTGCGGTTAGAGTTTCATGTAAATCAGGGCGGGCTTAAGCGTCATCACTGGTCGACTAGTTCTTGATTGACAACTCCTCCTCTAGCCAATCAGTCGAAGAGGGGTGGTGACGTCACTCCAACGCACCTCATTACTGTCGATGCTCAGTGTTTTGTTCACTTGCACAGGTGAAAATGGACAACTGTCAGCTGGGAAACATCTTTCCATACAGGACACCGTTATATGTGTCTGTCTGTCACTGCTGTATGCCTACCTGGCGATCCGTTAACGTTAAATGAGTAAATCGGTAAATTAATTTTGAATTAATGTAATGTTTTTGCATTGAAAACGATAGTGCTACAGAGTAGACAGTTACAGAGGCCAGGTGGATTTGATATACACAATGATTTATTTGCATATTGTGTTTATTTACATAGCTACATATATAATTTCCTAACACTGTCATATTAATGTTTAAAATATATAAAGTTCGAACATAACAACAATATGAAAGTAAAACAGCCAGTAGGTTGCGGCAAGTTTCTATATTTAGAGTAAGACATTAAATCATTCATTCAAATGACTGATTCATTCAATGAGGAATAAAGCGAATCATTCAATACGAAAGGCTGCTGTGTTGCTTGTAGAGGACACTGTTCTGCTGTGGCTTTGTTTGGACTCATCGTCAAAATAGAGCAAAATGAGAAAATAGTTAACTCAGTCAAAATATACTTCTTGTTAAATTGATTCAGTTCAATAAACATTTGCAATAGTCCTGATATTAGGAAAAACACTCTTACTCGTGTTTTGATTAACTGTATGTCATAAAATAAATTATAGTGTCATTCTTTACAAACAACATTTATTTTAAATGCTAAGCCTATGACTTATTTAAAATGAAACTAAAAACTGAACCTCCTGCTGGGCTCACATCCCTCTCATTTCCATGAGTGAATCGTTAGACGCGGTGTAACATTTGGTTGATAAACTATTAGCCTATTTATTTTGTAAAGAAGGCTTTGTACTTCTCTTGTATCTGAATATCTACTTAAACAACATGCTTCAGATATGCATAAAATGTGTTTGGAAAACACCAAGGCATGGTGATGCTTGCACTGACCGGCAAAACCTACATATTGTACAAAAGACAAGCTAAATTGATTCACCAATACCTTTTGTATGTTTAGTTATCTCATTTACTTTGATGATGAAGAGGCTGCGATGTAAAAATTGCAATGCTAGAACTGATTATGTTGTGTGCGCGCAGGAGGCGCCGGCGCGGACACTTGGGTTACTCACATCAGCGGAAAGATGTGATATCTGTCAGATAAGAGCAAGACATCATTCAAAACTATCTATTTTTTATTTGTGTACCTTCAAAATAACAGTGAAACGTTGTACTTTTGTAAAATGAAGAAAACATACAAAATGCACTTGACGTCTCTGTGAACCTCTTCCTGAATTGAAGAAAAACTCAGCGATACTGTCTAACAATATACTTGTCACACAGAATGAGAAATATATTTATAGAAACCTTGAAGTGCCCACTTTTACCTGTTTACGTTTTGCTTATTTGACATTAAATGCCTTATATAAGTCACTTTGGAATATAAATCATAGCATAATCAGAAGATAAAAAATGCAACGTGTAGTCCGGAAAATACAGTATAGCAAATTATTTTGCGGGACCCCCTGGCTTTGGGTCACGATACGGACCCCAGTTTGAAAACCCCTGCTCTTACTCATATTATCCTCTCCTAACAGTAATAACCATAACAAGACTCATAATCAGTCAGGTAAAGGCGGGCCAAGCACATCAGTGACTTCGCGAGGCCGGTGCATTTAGTGGCTTCTCCCTTTTGCGATGTGATCAGAGGCGAGTAAATACAGGTGAATATAACTGCGACAGGTCGCTAGGACGGCTCATTTAACGTTAACGGATTGCCAGGTAGGCGTACAGCAGTGACAGACAGACACATATAACGGTGTCCTGTATGGAAAGATGTTTCCCAGCTGACAGTTGTCCATTTTCACCTGTACAAGTGAACAGAACACTGAGCATCGACAGTAAAGAGGCGCGTTGGAGTGACGTCACCACCCCTCTTCGACTGATTGGCTAGAGGAGGCTGGCTTCAACCTGACCAAAAGCAGAAGGCGTGGTTGAAATGTCATCGGCCACAGAGCTACTGTTGATTTGCCAGGCCAATGGGGAGGAAATATCCATTGTCAGAATTTGTAACTCTTGTGTTGCCCTCTGTCTATGCTTTCCAATTGAAGGTTCATGAGATGCACCTTTGAGCTATTTCAGAGAACTAGTTTATCATTAGCTGATCTACATTCTCTTCATTAGTGAAAGTCAAGATTCACTTGCACAATTCATGCCAAATTTTGTAAAAAATGTGCTTGACAGTTTATGACAACTAGATGAACCATTTTGCATTTAATGACTTATACGATGAACTAAAGACTAGATGTTTTGAGGGGTAAGACTGTTGCACAGAGAACTATATAATACATTTTGAGCAACATGACATTAGCAACTGATAATGTAGGAAACCGCAGACAAATGTACATAATCAATTGCATGAATGTACCAAAGCAATCGCAACTTGTTCAAAAGAATGAGAAACTGCTTTTATAATGTGTACAAGTGACTAGATGATGTGGAGGTTGAACAAGTAGTTTTGAGAATTTAATTTCTGATCTGAGAAATGCAACAAAGCGACTGAGAAAAACTGTAGTACAATTAATGAATAATAATTTAGCCGTAAGTAAAATGATCCACATGATGACCTCTCACCTGACGACCTCATGGGACGATCCCTCATGTTCAGACATCTTTAGTAATTTAGCGCACTACCAGGATACCTTCATAACATACGCTGCTGCCGGTAAGTGGAGTTCTCAGCAGAGTGGTGTGCTTGTATACTTTTATTACAATTTAAAGGGGTCATATGATGCGATTTCAAGTTTTCCTTTCTCTTTGGAATGTTACAAGCTGTTCGTGAATAGATAATATCCCTAAAGTTGCAAATCCTAATATCAGGACCATTGCAAATGTTTATTGAACTGAATCAATATAACAAGTATATTTTGAGTGAGTTTACTATTAATAGTAACTATTTTCTCAGTTTGCTCTATTTCGACAAAGAGTCCAAACAAAGGCACAGCAGAACAGTGTCCTCTACAAGCAACACAGCAGCCTTTCGTATTGAATGATTCTCTTTATTCCTCACTGAATGAATCAGCCATTTGAATGAATGATTTAATGTCTTATTCTAAAGACAGTAACTTACCGCCACCTACTGGCTGTTTTACTTTCATATTGTTGTTATGTATAACTTTATGTATTTGAAACATTAATATGATAGTGTTAGGCAATTATATATGTAGCTATGCAAATAAACACAACACGCAAATAAATCATTGTGTATATCAAATCCACCTGGCCTCTGTAACTGTCTACTCTGTACCAATCGTTTTCAATGCAAAAACATTACATTAATTAAAAATTAATTTACAGATTTACTCATTTAACGTTAACGGGTCGCCAGGTAGGCGTACAGCAGTGACAGACAGACACATATAACGGTGTCCTGTATGGAAAGATGTTTCCCAGCTGACAGTTGTCCATTTTCACCTGTACAAGTGAACAGAACACTGAGCATCGACAGTAAAGAGGCGCGTTGGAGTGACGTCACCACCCCTCTTCGACTGACTGGCAAGAAAAGAAGCTGTTAATCTAGAACTAGTGGACCAATGATGATGCTTAAGCCCGCCCTGATTTACATGAAACTCTAATCTCAACATTTGGAAGAAGAAGCGCAGAACGTGGAATAAAGAGCGAAGGGAAAAACTGCATAAGCATACAAAAGAATAAAAATATGTGCAGAAAACGTCTGAGAGCACAAAAAACAGAGACATGTAACCAAGGAAAACATGATTTTGTGTGCAATTCAGATCATTTAGCATTAATATTTCAGTTTTGTGCAATATGATTTTAAATGTGTTTAAAGTTTTGATTCGTGCTTATTATTTTTTTAAATGCGTTATTAAATTTGTGATTTACACTTATTATTTTTTTATCCGTGACTATTGTTTGCTATTCTGAAAACTTTGCTTTCATTTTTAGATTTTGTGCAATATAATTTTACTTGCGTTCTTAAATTTTGGTTTCACGCTTGTTATTTTTTTATCCACGACTGCAATATATTTGGCGGGAAAATGATCCCATAGCATTGCCCTGCAACACGCAAAAAGACAGTATAAGTCATTATAATCAGTGCCTCGTTTATAATGGGTTTTATTGCTTTTGTCTCGTCGCGCTGGGACACGGCATCACAATATGGTAAGGGGAGTATGCTTGTTATTTTTTTATCCATGACTGCAATACATTTGGCGGGAATCTGATCCCATACTAGAGGGCAGCACACTCCTCGATAATCGACCCCATTGGGAATGTGAATGCAGCAAGGGAGTCAAGTTTTGGCTCCTTAGTATCCAACCGGCTGCGTTCCCCAAAAGCAGCATAAGCTTAAGTTGGGGGGGTGCTTGAGTGCCCTGTTGTCAAGGCATTTTTTTTGTAATTAAACTCCCTTTTGTGAAGGCCTGCCCAATCTAGCTATTACAGTTTTTCTCAGTCGCTTTGGTGCATTTCTCGAATCATCCTTAATATTTGCAAAGAAGTATGTGCATTTCTCAAAACAATTCGTACAAACAGCACCACACAACACAACGCACTGGATAGCTGGCCAATCAGCGTACACCTCGCTTTTCAGACCGATGAGCTTTGTAAAAATCGATGCATTTCAGAAAGTTGGGGCATAGAGGAGAAACAATAATGTACAGTATGTGGAAAATAATGTGTTTTTTTAACCTTAAACAGCATAAACACATTTCATTACACCAAATACACAAAATAATGTTCTTTTTTTGCAACGTCATATGACCCCTTTAAGAGGACTATTATTTTGATGAACAGAACTGAAGAACAACTGATGACGTCACAGGTTCAGCTTTGGCGGAAAGGGGCGTCCCATGACCGCCCACATGTGAAAAACCAATTTTTGAAGTCATTTATCCGTTTTCTACCCATGAACCAAAAAACGAAAACTCAAGCAGAAAAGATGGTCTCCCAGCCTCACCAAGCTGTTGTTTAAAACTAGCCAACAGACGAACAGACTGGGTGACAAGGTAAGACCAGCAAACCAGTTTAGTATATATATATATATATATATAAGTACTGAGTAATATTAATTAACTACATGTACTTACTATATGGTTAGGGTAAGGATTTGGGTTTGGCTTATGGTAACTTGCATGTATGCATAATTAATTGTTATTATAATAGTAAGTACATGTAACGTGTAACAAGGACACCTTAAAATAAAGTGTTACCCAGTGATGTTTTACAGTGCATTTTCTACAAGAAGTGTTAGATATTTAATAATTTAACATTTATAGCTTAATAAAGTGACATCTTTAGTGCATCTCCAAAAAGACTATCAATGCACTAAAGGGGAAAAAAAATTGACACACCAACTTTATTATTAAAATCTTGCAACGGCAAAGTTGCAAAGGCAATTTGAAGAAGAAAACATTCAAGGAAAAGTAAATCATTAACAGAAATTAATCAAAATTTTCTTGGCATGAATATTGTTTGACATCTATTGTCTGTAAACTGTTTCATTATTTTAACTATTAATAATTTTATTTAGATTGGGATTTTATTAAGACAATTTACACAAGACACAATGAGTTTACTGGTGCTAAGTCAAGATCAGTGTCAAAAATCTTGAACATATGATGAAGCACACTGTCAAGTAATATAGGCACAGATATATTGATATAGGGAATATGTAAGACTATGCTAAAGAAGTTAACGTGATGTCCTGTATACACTTAAAAGTGTACTCTGTCTTGGGAAAACTTCCTTTTTTGTTGTATACTCAGTGCCTGAAAGAAAATATTAATAAAAACACCTAATTAGTTCGAATCTGCAAGAAAACTCAGTTAATAAATTTTATTTTACTAAGACAATTTTTTCAGATTACCTTTTTCTTGGCTTTATCAAATGATAATCCTTTAGCACTTAGAGCAGAAATCTTGCTCTCAATGTCTGAGACCTGATAAATAAATCATTAAATAAATAAATAAACACACATACAGACAGACAGACAGATAAATAGATAAATAGAAGCTCACCTCACTTTCTGTGCTCTGAACCTTAGCAGCTGCCAAAGCAACCTGGTCCTCCAGTTCAGAGAGCTCTGAATCAGTTAACGGGCCGCTGTAGTGATTCTTAGCATTCTGCTCAATCATTTGCAACTTTTTTGCCATTTCGAAGGACTTCCCTGCAGTCATGTACAGCTGCAGTAAAAAGGAAAAAGAAAATACAGAGTTCTGAACAAATAGCTTATAAACTTTAGTGATATAAAACCGCTTGGTTATGCCATTGATATTCCAAGTGTCTAATCTCTCTCCTTTAAACAAATAAAATAGTATCTATTAGAGGGATAAGCTTACATTTTCCTCAAGTTCCCTGAACGCATCATCAGCCTGCTTAAGATCTGTGCCCGCTAACTGAGGTCTGTCATTAGGATTTGAGGGGGCGAACTCGTTCATAGCGTTTTCAGTGGCATTAATTGTTCTTAGAATCTGTTGTGATGTCGCATAGGGCTGCCGCGGTGGATCTCTGAAAGCAATTAACCGAGAGGAAAGAAGCCTCATCAGCATTAAAACCCTAAAAATGACTGTAGTCAGGTATTATTGTTGCTAAGGTTATAGCTAAATGAGGCATAAGTGTTGCTAATGCTTCATGGTCTTTAGATAAGACACTGATTAGTTATGAAAATAACCCAGGGGAACTACGAACTTTTTTCAGCTGTTTCTTTGCTTATGCTTATAAAGATGCTAGTGATAAAACTAAGCTTTTTAGGATTATTAATAAAGTATCTGTGCTCTGGCATTCTATAATATGAGAAACTTGTAATATGTTGCGTGACTTTTAAAACCCACTTGTATTCCACTATAGTCTGATGAGATGAGATACCTGAATCTGCATAAATTGTTCTACAAATAAAACATTATTAAAAGATATTTTATCAGGAAAACCTTACCTTGGACAAAGACAGCATTTTTTGGCTTCTGTGGATGTTTGTGTTGTCTGAGTCCTCACCTTTTGTGCTTCAGTGGGAATTTCATCACTGGAGGAGCTCAAGGGTTCTTGGGATGTAGGGGCCATTGGTGCATGGTCCCCCCTCACAGCGGACCCTTTGGAATGAGGAGGTCTTTTCGGCTCATCCTCGTCAGAGGACAGCGCCTTGTCACTCATCAGCTCATCTAGTTTTCTCCTCAGCTTCTCCTCCTCCATCTGCCCTGCTGTGGGCTGGACAGGCTACAGACATACAAATTTAGTCCTTAATATTAAAATCATGAGAGGGACCTACATGAAACCATCAGCCCAGAGGTGACCAAACTTTTTCAATATGAAGGGCATCTCTGCTATAGCATAATAAGATGTTCTGGAATAAATAAAAGTGTTTCTACTTATAGACTTTATTCATACCTGATCAGGAGGCAAAGTCATTTTCTCTTCCAGTCGATTTAAGAGACTCTCAATGGCAGACATTCTCTTGTTCAGTTCATTGATCTACCTCACAGCAACAGGTAAAAGAAAAAAAAAAAAAGCAAAGTTGCAGATTGATCAAATGATGAATTCAACACAAGGTAGTCAGACTTTTGTCAACTTAGACAGAAAGATACCATCTGAATGGAAATAATCATAATCAATCATACTACAATAACAGACAAAACATGAGGTAACTAAAACTAATCCAACCTATAATTATTTATAAAAAGGTGCAATTAAAAAAAACGGTACTTTTAAAAGATGCATTACTGTTTCTAGAATCTGTAATATTTTTAATGAACCAGTTTCATATGCTCACCAAGGCTGCATTTATTTGTAATATTGTGTACAGTAATATTGTGAAATTTAAAACACTGTGTTTCTCTCTTTTTTTAATATATTACAAAATGTAGTTTATTCCTGTCTTGGCAAAGTAGTCTTCAGTGTCACATAATTCTCCAGAAATGATTGTAATATGCTCATGTGGTGCTAAGTAACATTTCTTATTATCACAGCAGGTTATAAATGGTTGCACTGCTTAATATTATTTTGTAGAATCTGTGATGCATTTTTATTTCAAAATTCTTCAATGAATAGAAAGTTCAAAGGAACAGCATTTATTTGAAATAGAAATTCTTGTAACAGTCTTTACTGTTACTTTATTCCTTGCTGAATAAAAATATTAATTTCTTAAAAAATAAATCTTACTGACCCCAAACTTTTGATCGACAGTGTATGTTTAAAATCTTGTACATCCACATGAGCTGAATAACCAAGTCATATCAGTACCAGTCAAGTGGTTGCCTTGTTGAAATCACATGACCAGCTGAAAACTGCTCATTTTGCCTCAGAAACCTCCCTATCATTAAATACTTCCTCTAACTGTGAATAGAGCATTTCTTCAATGGTAGCTCAACAAAGAAAATATTGTGCACTTTTATGTATTATTAAATGTAAAATGTGAAGAAAGTCCCTTAATCTCTGATCATACCGGTGGTGCGCTCTGATGAATGTTTTCCTGAGATGATGCTCGACTGCGGTGTCGTGGGGGCAGCTGGTAGACAGGGTATCGGAACATATCATCCTCCTCTGAAGTATCCAGATAAATCTGGCGTGGAGCCACAGAGGAGTTGATTTTAGAGAGCGAGCGAGCGCGTACCATTCTGTGTTCAGAGTGCATGCCATCATCTAAAACAAAAATCAAGGGGACAAATAAGCTAATCTGTTTAATACCATTTAAAGATGAAAATCAATCAAAGATCCCCTGCTGACTGTCCAGATTGTTTTGGTGACGATAAGATTTCTCAAGGTTTATGTTTATATTAAAACAAAAATACATAACATATAAATATATAGTAAATATATATTTAATTAGAATGTTTGTTTATTTAAATAAATAAAAAACATTTAAATATGTAAAATACATTGTCTGAAAACAAGTTTTTAATTAATATACATTCACATATGGTATATATATTTGTGTGTGTGTGTGTTACAGCATAATGCTACTCACATTAAATCTTGCTAAAAAGACATTTAAATATCTTTACTCTAAAACTATAACAAAATTATTTTAACAGTGCAATATTTTAGGCACAGGCAACATTAATTGCCCTTCTGTATAATGTGAATATTTTGTGCATAACAAATCTGTTTGGACTGAAATCTAAAATTCCAGTTCCCTTTCAGTCAATCACTCTCGATGTCACATCAGTGATGACCGACGAATTGGGATCTCACCAGAGAGACCAATCCACTTTGAGTGTAACAAAACAATTCGGATTTCGCATCTGGCTGCCACACCCCGCAGTGCGGGTATAAGAGGCAGCAGGTGCACCGCATTAATTCATCTTTTTGCTTCAGAGCCGAGCGGTGGTGCATCACTACTGCTCTCCTCTTCGAGTGATTGCAAGAGCGAGTGCGGGTGTTACGGCGTTGCAGTGGTGGTCGCAGTCTCAGGGAGAGAAAGAAAAAGATCGTCTTTCATGCAGACAGCCACATTTGGAGTGTGCGGTGGCCAGTTCCCCTGCATGCTTCAGCACTATTAGAGCAATCTCTAACAGAGCAACACGGGAGATCGCGTCTTTTTAAAGATGTCTTATCACCCGTGCGTTTCTGGATGCGGTCTCTATTTCTATTTGTGGGAACATGACCATCTCGGAGTTGCATGAAAGACTCCGTTACGTCAAACGTGGCGGGGTCCCTCTGCCATGATCCAGTGTTCGTCCCGGCAATCGGGGCGGCGCTGCGTCCGGTGGAGTCAGAGGTGATTTGAGGATCACGGTGACGGCTTCCCCAGAGGGAGTTTGTCACCCCTCAAGCACTCCGCAGCCGGTGGAGCGGCCAGAGGGGCGCGCTGGCCTCTCTACAGGATGGAAGGAGCCGGCCGTTTCCTTCAGTTCACCCCCTCGAGACTAGATATCGATCGCTGCATCGGAGGGCGAGCTCTCTCGAGAATATCGGGCTCGTGTGGAATCCTCCACCGTGTCCCGATCCTTCGAGGCTGCATGAATGATTTCTCGGTGGGGGTCGCGCTGGTTGTCAGCACTCCCCTCCGGTGCCATTCTTCCCGGAGATGCATGAGGAGCTAACAAGATCGTGGAAGGCACCTTTTACTGCCCAAAGTCTTGTAGCTCCTCTGCTCTCACCACCCTCGATGGTGGGGCCGCTTTGGGGTACGCGGGCATTCCCTCGGTGGAGCGGTCTGTGGCCATGCAACTGTGTCCAACAGCCGCTACCACTCTGCGGGGTGACCCGTGTCTCCCATCACGGGCCTGTAAGTATTCATCAGGCTTAACTGGCAGTGCTTACAGAGCTTGTGGGGAGGCGGCTTCTGCCCTCCACGCCATGGCGTTACTGCAGGTCCATCAGGCCAAAGCCGTGAGAGGCCTGCACGAGGGTGTTCACGACCTGGCAGTTCTACATGAACTGCGTGCTGCGACGGACCTCGCGCTTCGAGCGACGAAGGTGACCGCACAGTCTCTGGGTCGTGCGATGTCCACGCTATTGTTCCAGGAGCGCCATCTCTGGCTGACATGAAGGAGCATGATAAGGTGCAGTTCCTGAATGCTCATGTGTCACAGACCAGCCTTTTCGGCGACGCTGTCGAGAGCTTTGCCCTGCAGTTCTCGGCGGCACAGAAGCAGACTGAGGCGATCAAACACATCATGCGCCGGAGGAAACCTGCTTCTTCCACCCCGGCTGCAGCCCCTCAGCCTGCTCGTCGCCATGGGCGCCCCCCTGTGGCTGCCCCCACTCCCACGCAGCAGCAGCAGCCTTCCTCCAGGCAGCGTCGTGGAGCAGGTCGCAGGCAGGACGCCCAGCCCATCCAGGTCCCCGTCAAACCCGGCAGGAAGCGCAAGTGCAAGAGGCCCTGAGACGAGCGACCCGGAGATGGAGGAGACTGCTCATCGGGTGATGTTGACCGCATCACTCTCTCCCCCGGAGGAGGGCCGGGTAGAGAATCTTTTTTTTCGTTTTGTTTTTGTTCTGCCGCTGGCCACCCGTGGTACCCAAAACCTAAATAAAAGAGCGGTTTCCTCAGTCTCTGGGTCTCAAGAGGAAGAGAGTTGTGAACTGTGCATCACAGGGTCACTTCCCTCCTCCTCTTTCGCCAGCGGGCAGCAGTGGGTTGCCCAAGAGCACCCCTCCTGCCCATTCGTGGAGCCAGGTAAGGGCTGTAGCATTTGAGTCCCCGCTTCATGTCGTCACACGCCGGGCTGTCACAAGCCTCAAGCCGGGACCCTGTGTTTTCTCCCGCACAGGGAGGAATCAGGTTAGTGTTACACTTCACACCCAGACTCCGCCCCCTGCCGTCACAGGCAAGGCCGTCACAAGCCTCGGGCTGAGTCCCTGTGTTCCACCACGCTGCCCCACTGTGGGTACGTCGGTGGCCGCGTTGGTTCCTCTGGCACGGTCTCTCGGATCCTGGTTAACGCTCCCCAGTCCGTCTCGGTGGCTCCTGCGGACCATCAGACTCGGCTATGCGATTCAGTTTGCCCGGCGTCCCCCCAAGTTCAGGGGCATCCGGTTCACTTCAGTCAAGGCTGTCGATGCCCCTGTCTTGCGTGCGGAAATCGCAGTCCTGCTGGTGAAGGACGCGATAGAGCCGGTCCATCCAGCCGATATGAGGTCCAAGAAAATCGGTGGGTTACGATCGATCTTGAATCTGCGAGTTTTGAACCATGCACTTCACAAGCTGCCGTTCAAGATGTTGACACAGAAACGCATTTTCGAGTGCATCCGTCCCCAAGATTGGTTTGCAGCGATCGACCTGAAGGACGCGTACTTTCATGTCTCGATCCTCCCGTGGCACAGGCCATTCCTGCGGTTCGCGTTCGGGGGTCGGGCATATCAGTACAAGGTACTGCCCTTCAGGCTATCCCTGTCGCCTCGCGTCTTCACCAAAGTTGTGGAGGCAGCCCTTGTTCTTTTGAGAGAACGGGGGGTGCGCATCCTCAACTATCTCAACGACTGGCTCATACTCACACAGTCTCACGATCAGTTGTACACACAGAGGGACCTGGTGCTCAGACACCTCAGCCAGTTGGGTCTTCGGGTCAACTGGGAAAAGAGCAAACTCGTGCCAGCACAGAGGATCTCTTTTCTCAGCATGGAGTTGGATTCGGTCAGCCAGACAGCACGCCTCACCCAGGAACGTGCTCAGTCATTGCTGAACTGCCTCAAGACTTTATCAGGTAGGACGGCAGTCCCACTGAAATTCTTTCAGAGGCTCCTGGGGCATATGGCTGCAGCTGCGGCGGTAGTTCCGCTCAGTCAGTTTCTTTCTATGAAAACCCTTCTCCTGACTGCATTGGCCTCGATCAAGAGGGTGGGGGCCTGCAGGCATTTTCCGTTGACAAATCGTGCCTTGAGTTTGGGCCGGCTGATTCCAGTGCTTCCAGTTCAGGGACCAGGTAGTGAACCTGCAAGCGCTGCCCCTGGAGGAGGCAGACCCAGCCCTAGCTTTGTTTGCTCTGTCCTGTACGCACACTGCGACAGTACGTGGATAGAACTCAGAGCTTTAGGACCTCAGAACAGCTCTTTGTCTGTTACGGAGGATTCGTTTGCTAGGTTCTATAGCCTGCGTGTCAAACTGGTTTCCTCCTGTGTTCTCACCTCAAACGGGTAGTGGCACTGAGAGGCCTGGCTCAGAATCGGCTTGCGGCATCCTGGAAGCCTAGTTCTCCAGAGAGTCCCCTGACCGGGCAGACCCTGTCGAGTCCTCCAGCACTCCGGCGGCCAGACGTGGCGGAGCATCCGGAACCAGGCCTTTCAGCCAATGAATTCCTGAAATCTGGTGTGAGGCTAGTGCCCATATGAGTGACCCAGTTGGGATCCCATATGTGTATTTCCACGGTACAATTACTAGGGCTGTGTTTCCCCTGGCAGACCACGTTCTGCTGTCTCTAAATGATGCAGCCATGAGCCATCTCAGAGACTTCCATGTGCAGTAGGGCCCCTCGGGGTTACTCCACGTGAGTAAATGTCACTTAACCCCCTCTGGAAGGAGGTGACTCCTCAGTGTCCTCTTCCAAATGAAAGGGCACGCTTCCCAGTGTTATCCAAGTCCTACTGTTGGGTTGCGAGGAACAGCTGTAGTCTACCTTCTCTGTGTAGAGCCCGGTCCTATCATCTGCCTTATATGAAGGATCAGGAGGCCTACACAGGCCACTGGTGGGGGCAGCACCTGTGGCGTGTTGGTAGGGATCCCAATTCGTCGGTCATCGCTGACGTGACGCCGAGAGTGACCGACTGAAAGGGAATGTCTCGGTTATGTATGTAGAAGGAGGGAACGGAGACTTCACGTCCCGTCGCCACAGTTGCTGTACCACCGCTGAGCTGCCGAGTCACCGACTCAGCTCCTCAGCGAAAACACGAATTAATACGATGCACCTGCTGCCTCTTATACCCGCGCTGTGGGGTGTGGCAGCCAGATGCGAAATCCGCATGCCAATGTCCATTGGCGAGATCCCTGGCGAGATCCCAATTCCTCGTTAATAACCGACGTGACGTCTTCAGGGAACGAGGGTTACATACGTAACAGAGATGTTTTACATGAAGCCCTTGATATGTGATCAGTGAATGTTTGTGTGAATGTGTACATTTGTGAAAGATACGAGGAAGAGAAAGAAAGAAAGAAAGAAAGAAAGAAAGAAAGACCAAAATGTACAGACAGAATATGTTTGCTTCACCTGTGCGCGAGAACCTGTCAAGACTTTTCCTGCGGTTCATGCGATGATGATGATGGTACATGTCAGAGTTGTATTCTACATCATTCCGCTGACCTCTGTCTTCATGCATGTACTGGAGAAGAGTGAGAAGTGTCTGTAATGCCTGAATACCCTTTTAAAGAGTGGATGTTTAACAATATGAGCCTTCTCAATACCTGGACAGACTGTCTGCGAGAGTGAGTGGCATAGTCGTCCATGTCAAGATCCATGGGGTGGACAGAGAGAAGACGCTTGGTCTTTCGCATCTGAGAAGAAGTCAGGACAATTTAGCTCATATAAAATATGAGTGACAAAGACTTACAAAATACTGGTTTAAGAGAGCTTTGTTATCATAATTGTGGATTTTGAATGTAACTTGTCTATCTTTAATAATTAAATTGCAGAAAAAAGGTGTTTGTCTAAATGCTGTGGCATTTAAAGGGAAATCCCTTGCACAGATAATTTGCTTTAAACTGCAAATTTATGGAGAAGGAAAAAAACCTATAGGTTAAGTCAATATATATAAGCCCATTTATGCCACATAAGAAAAAATCTTGTTTTTGGTAAATCATAATTTTTAAGTCATAGTTATGGCTTTTTCTCATAATTTCAATCTTCTCATCTCTTTTATCTCATAATTTCAAAGTCATAATGACTTAGTATGTCATAATTTCAACTTTTTACTTCATAATTATGAATTAGTACACTGTATTTCACAATTTCAACTTTTTGTCATAGTTATGACTATCTCATAATTTAAATTTTTATATTGACTTTTTATCTAAATTTTAACTTAACATGTCATTATTTTGACTTTTATTTAATAATCAGTACTTGGTATGTCATAATTTAGAATTTTTATCTTATAATTATGACTTAATGTCTCATAGTTTGAACCTTTTATCTCATAATTATGATTTACAAATTATATATTTTTTCCCTTACATGGCAGAAAAGGGCTTACACACTATACAAAAACTGTACCAGACTAACACACTGTGCACTAAAATAATAAGCCACTAAGTTAATTCACCAAGGGAAAAGCTTTAAACAAAGCCCTTGAAATGCATATTGAAATATAAATTCAAAAGCATTCCAAAATGTGGTCTACCTGCTTATAACGTTGAGCTTCAGATGCATCCAAATGTTCATCATGACCATTATACACATCTAAGAATAAAACATTTTATATTACAGAGGTACACTATCAAAAGGGATTGCATAGTTTCAGTACTGATAAATATCAACAAAGCTTGGCCAAGTGCTCTGTGACAGCACCAGCTATGCTCCTGTTGTTCCCTTCACAACACCATGAATGTATTTGTGTACTCACTGCGCACATCAGGCATGCTCTGTGTGTCGTCATCATCATGGTGCCCTAAAGAAACAAAGGACAATAACGTGAGACTCGTGCAAATGAGAACACAAGGACATTCCTGCATATTTAACTCATTTATCAGGCATTTTGAACAAATGAAATATTTGAGTAATTAGTTGTTGCACATAATCCCACAGCAAAACTAATAAGAACAAATATATTGAACCTACAAAATGGTAAACTAGAACATTAACAGTTTTACAGTTGTAAACTAGACATTTGACAGCTTTTTCCTTGGGGTGAAAAATCTACACATCCATTTGTGCATTCAACCAAGGTTTCTAATTTTCTCTGTTTAACATGTCCTGCCGTGCAAGTCTATAAACAATATCAGCAAGTTAGACAGTGCCCCAGACACAGCATGTGACCCAGATAAGGCCTCAGCACTTGGGACACAGCCTCTAGACAGAGTTCTTTGAATTCAACTGACTGATTGTCACAGATCAAGCCGGAGACAATAGGTTAGTGAATGAATGGCAGGTTTATTGACAGGTAAGGTTTAGGCAGAATTACTGAAGCAATGACTGGTGAGTATCCAATACGAATGACAGTTCAATGAGTCTTAGCTGTGTCCTGATGATTGGTTCCTTTGTAGGTGCGTGGAGGGTTCGGGAACCAGTTCCTTTGTAGGTGCGCGGAGGGTTCGGGATCCAGGAGCGGAGGAGAATAACGAATGAAGATCTTCGGGGAACTAGAGGTAAGGATAAACAGGTAAATAGCATATAGGGAGTCTGGTAAGGTTCAGAGTAGTGAACGGTAGACCGGATGATGAGTGACTGTGAGGAGCGTGCTCATGAAGGTGGCTTGATTGAAAACGGCAGGTGCAGGTGATCAGAATACAGGTGAGTGTGATCTGGTGTAAGTGGTGATCGTGACTGAAAGCAGGTGTAAGACGGGGAGGATTCTGGGACATAGAGTCCAGAGCTGGTGACTGGTGACAAAGACTCCCTGACATTACCTCCCCCTCCAGAAAGGTACATACCGCGCCGTAACATATCCACCAGGGAGGGGGGGGTGGGCGCCCCGGAGGCTGGTGCAGCCGACACTGGAGCGACCTCTGGGGCTGGAGCCCACAGTCTCTTCCTCCGCAATCTCCTCTTTTGGGCTGAGGAGAGGGAGATGACCGGTGGGCTGGACAGCAGAGAGGCCGGCGAACTTGAGTGCTCTGTGGCCGGCGGGCTTGTGTGAGCCACGGCCGGCAAGCTTGACCTTGGAGTGGCTGGCGAACTTGAGTGAGCAGTGGCCGGCAGGCTTGTGTGAGCCACGGCCGGCGAGCTTGACTGAGGAACGGCCGGCGGGCTTGACTGAGGATAGATGGGACTAATGGATGATGATCTGCTGAGGAACCGAGCCAGGCTGATGTAATCGTGCAGGGTCCACCTGGACCCAGCCAGTGGCATCCGTTTAGCGAAACCACCCCAGAAACAGTCCACAAGAGCCCACCGGTCGAGGGAAGTCTGCTTAGAGCAGGTGAGAAATTCCTGGATGTACTCCTCCAGCGCATGGCCGTCCTGATAAACTGAACATAATCGTTTGAGGGGATCCATAGAGGTAACTGTTATGGTCCGGTCTTCTGTCACAGATCAAGCCGGAGACAACAGGTTAGTGAATGAATGGCAGGTTTATTGACAGGTAAGGTTTAGGCAGAATGACTGAAGCAATGACTGGTGAGTATTCCAATAAGAATGACAGTTCAATGAGTCTTAGCTGTGTCCTGATGTATGGTTCCTTTGTAGGTGCGCGGAGGGTTCGGGATACAGGAGCAACGGAGAACAACGGATGGAGGTCTTCGGGGAACTAGAGGTAAGGATAAACAGGTAAATAACATACAGAGAGTCTGGTAAGGTTCAGAGTAGTGAACGGTAGACCGGACGATGAGTGACTGTGAGGAGCCTGTGCTTGAATGTGGCTTGATTGGAGATGGCAGGTGCAGGTAAACAGAATACAGGTGAGTGTGATCTGGTGTGAGTGGTGATCGTAACTGAAAACAGGTGTAAGCCGGGGAGGATTCTGGAACATAGAGTCCAGAGCTGGTGACTGGTGACAGAGACTCCCTGACACTGATAAACAAATCCACTTGGTAACTAAACACACACAGACATCTAACGATAACACATGCGTTGAACCATTGCTGTCTCTTGCTCTTCTTCATCTGAAAGGCAGTGTATACAGGCTTTACATATTTACTATATGTTGAACTGATCATTGATGATATTTTTTTGTTAAACTGATGAGAGTAATTTTTGTTAAAAATGTGTTGAAATTGTTGAAAGTGAAGTTATGGTCAAATTTATGCTGCAATTACTACCTTTGTTTTATACTAGCATAAGCTTGAAGATAATGAATATTTACATTCGTTCATTTAGCAGGTGCTTGTCCAAAGTGGCTATACAGGTGAAATTATAAAATAAGTTCAATTGAAATTAATATTTAATGGTGAGTAGCTATCTAACAAGTGGTATAATTACTACAGTTAGCCGGTCATTATCGCAAAATAAACTCCTTCAGGGTGATATAAGACCCCTCTATTCCAGGGCCTAATCATCATGCCAGAGTTTATTTTGCATTAATGACCAGCTGACTGTACTTTATCTCTTCTTAACACTCACTTGCTTGCTTAACCACTTAAAATGACTGGTGATACTGAAACAGGATGATGATATGACAGCTCATGTGGACACAATAAAGGTTATCGGGAAGCTTCTAATAGCACTCACCCTCTTCATTTAATCTCTTGTACAGTGACCTCATCACTTTTGCGCTGCCAAAACGCTTGAAGCGAGAGTGTACATTGTCATGGTACCACCCCAAGGTTCCAATTTTCAGGACCCTGCATTTACAAACAGGTGTAATGTAAAGACTTCATATTAGGGATTAATTATATACATTACTTCATAGTTTACCTAAGTGTATAAGCTGTACATTTTTTTCCAAATGTAATCCAATGTCGGAATCTTTTCTAACCTGGACATGCGGCAGGGGTCGCATACCCAGCCATGCTCCTTCTTGTTGTAGCGGCTACAGGTCTTGCAGGTGTAGAGTTCACAGTCCATACACTGCCGTTTGCTGTTCACCAGGAACTTAAATGGCTGCAGGCAGCGGATACAGTGAGAGTCAGTCAGGTTTGACTGAGAGCCCAGGAGTTCCCTCTTTGTTTCTTCCTTCTCGATCTTGGATTTAATCTCACTGTGGTGTAATACAAACAAACAGACAAACAAATTATATACATGATTATGTCACTGAAATAAGCTTTGTGGTTACTTTCTGAAGGCAGGTTGCTTAGGTTGCTTTCTGAAGGCAGGTTTGGCTTAGGCCTAAACTAAAACCAATTTATAATATAATTGAATATTAATAAAGCCGCCTATCCACTGATCCTATTCCCTATTACAAATGCACAATATATCTGTACCACATTTTGTCAGCCAATATTAGAGATGTTTTAATTTATCTGTACGGAAGGATATATTATTTATAGTGGATATTGCTTCTGTTTTAACATTTAAATTACCTTTGCCTTCATTTGTTTTCACTTAGGTTAATCTTTAATAACACTAATAATTTACAAACCATGTTAAATATAATCTTTAGAAAATCTCAAGGTGATTAGGAATTTGTCATACTGTACATTATAACGTTATGATGCCTGAATTCAATTGTAATATTTAAAATTACTGATTTTAGTTTTTAGTTTTCCATGTTTGATTTAAACAAAACTTTACAGAATGATTTAGTATTATCCATAACATAAAACATAATTATATGATTATCAACTCTGCCAGGATTTTAATATCAGTGCATCTCTAATTTTTATATGAAGACTCATAGAGTCCTTTAAAACCCTCATCCGTCCCTCGGGTCATTTTGACCCGAAACTAATTTTTAAAGATTTTTTTTTTTAAATCGAGCATTGTTCGTTATGGTATGAGACTTTGTTACTTTTGTCACACTTGAACTGGGAATACACGAAAATAAATTAGAGAGAATTCGAGCAGTTTAAGTGGGTGTTATATAAAAAGTATCAAAAGTGTCCCTCGCGGGTCATTTTGACCCGCCACTGGAAAAGCATGGAATTTACAAAAAAACTGTGGATTTTTTTTATTTAATTTTGTCACACTTGAGCATGGAGCACACACAAAAAATCGATTTGAGGATTCTATGTGGGTGTAATAAAAAAAGTAACAAAAGTGTCCCTCTCGGGTCATTTTGACCCGGCCATAGGAATGAATGGAATGTCTGAAAAAAACAGCATTTTTTTATTTATTTGATTTTCTTTTTGACTATACAAAATCTGACACAATCCAGAAAAGATGCATACCCACACAAAGTGCTGAGACTGCAGAATGTCCCCAATGCACAAAAAACTCACATACCCACACACACAAGCACACACAAACACACACATGGCACACACACTCCCATTGAAACACATTATAACATGTATGATGTTTTTGCTGGGAAATGGTCATTTTGAAAAAAAGATTTTTGACTTAACACAGTTACATTTGAGTGATGGGGTGGAGACAATGAGTTTATATCATATTTATATTTTTAAATGTATCTTTTATATTTATTACATATTTAAGAAACTGTATGAATATGCATGTGTTTGGATTAAAATTCAGAATCAATTTCATTTTTTTTTTAATGTTTTGATATATATCTGAAAGCCTTGAGATATATCTGAAAGCTTAATGAAGCCTCAAGTTGGTGTAGTTTTAAAGATTTCACTTGTTTGGCTTATTTAAGAATCTCCATAGGATTCTATAGGCGCCCTCTAGTGGCGGTAATCATAAAATGCAATTTTATGTCATTTTTCCCCACCAGATGGCATCAGAGACACTCAGTGACCTAGGTCCTGATGGATCATCATGTTTAAAGTGAAGTGACATGTGGCCAAGTATGGTTACCCATACTAGGAAATAGTGCTCTGCATTTAACCCATCCTAAGTGCACACACACAGCAGTGAACACACACACACCGTGAACACACACCCGGAGCAGTGGGCAGCCATTTATGCTGCGGCGCCCGGGGAGCAGTTGGGGGTTCGGTGCCTTGCTCAAGGGCACCTCAGTCGTGGTATTGAAGGTGGGAGAGAGCACTGTACATTCACTCCCCCCACCTACAATTCCTGCCGGACCGGAGACTCGAACTCGCAACCTTTGGGTTACGAGTCCGACTCTCTAACCATTAGGCCACGACTTCCCCTAAGAAGAGATGGCTTGACCCCGACGTGATAAACTTTAAAGTATAAATATGCAGAAATTGTCTTTCTTTATTTTGTTTTGTTTTGTTTTTTTTGGTGAAAAAAAAATTAAAATATGCTGATTTTCATAAAACAATATCCAGAATTAATGTGAATAAAATAAAAATCACCAAAAAAATAATTTAAAAATACACCTACTTAAAAAAGTAGAAAAAAAAAATTAGAAAAATGGACCAATATAAGCTTTCTGGACCAAAAATAAAATTAGTGTCATTTTTGGCCTTCGGGTCATTTTGTCCTGTGAGGGACACTTTTGTTATAGGTTCGGGAGGGACGGATGAGGGTTTTAATGTAAGTCAACATTGTGAATGCAATGCTTTCAAAACCTCAGTAAGTCACACAAAGTTAATTTACCAGTATATTCACCATAATACATAAAATTAGCATTACAACACATAATTGGTGCTGTAAAAGAGTATGATCAAGAATTCAACTTGAATTCAAGTCATATATAACTGTCCTTGCCAGCAAATAGAAAAGAACATCTTCCAAATAACAATTCAATAGCCACACAGAGACCTCCTTGTACAAAAAGAATAGAGCTCTGGGGCATCATGTTTTCCCAGCCAGTGGAATGGTGTGATCAGGCCTTGTGACTGTACCATGATCATCATGATGTCTTTACAACAGCAGTCTTTCACACTTTGTGGCCTTTCTCATAACCTTGTTCCACTAGCATTACTATAGACGGAGTATGATATATAGATAAATATAGAAGAAATTATGCAATTGTACCTCACAGTTCACTAAACCATCTATGTCTTTTGGAGTCAGTGCTGGCTGGATCCAATGACATATGTTAACTGATTAACCAGTGTTAAATCATGTCAGATTTGTCTCTATGGTAATATAGATTAATCATGTAAATTAAAGTCCTTACCCAAGCCTCTCCTCTTCCTTCTTCCTGAGGTCAAAATCTCTTTGAATGACCTCCCACACATGTTTGGCCTCCTCTTCTGTTAGTCTGGACAGGTCCAACTTCTTGTCCATATTCGGAGCTTAGTTGATCTTTTTTAAACAAAATTAGCAGTAAACATGACATATATAAGAAGTCCATGGATAATGCGAGTCTTATCGTTCCACCTCTCTACCTTACAGAGATAACAGGTTTCCATTATGAGCTACCAGAATATGCAACATGATCACATACAGTATGAAGCACTGCAGTCATAATCATGATCAAAAGTTCATTCATTGGGTATGACTGTTTTCAGTCCAGTCTCAGCAGCTCCTTTAAATAAAGATACATTTAAATACTCTCAACATGTCTACAAAATAATTGTATTCTGTAAACACCTCTATCAGTAATTCAAATTAAGTTTTTGAAAGAAGCATTAACGTATTAAAATAAATTAGAACACAATAACTGCAATATCATTCATAAATAAATAAATAACATGCTGAATGATTTTCTTTAAATATCAATGACACCACTGCTGTGTGTAAATGTGGTACTGGTGTCATTCTAATAGTGCATTGATTATCATGGCTCCTCACAGATACAACATTCATGATGTGATCATGTAATAATTTCAGCCATAGTGCTATGAGTAAATGAACCCAGGAAATGAATCAAGTCTGACAGATACCTGCTGCGATCATTAGAAAATCGCAGTGTGACAGCATAAATGCACTATTCACATTCATAACTTTAATGGCAGTAAGATCAATTGATTTAATATCACTGAAATGATATACCTATTAAAACATTAAAAAGCAGGCTTTACGCTTACAGAAAAAGTTTCTTAAATGATAATGAAGATTTTGTTTACCTTGCTTGCAGACAAGTAGCTGCTCTTGCCAAGTGTCTCGGGATGAGGCAGATAATGTGAGGATAGTCAGAGGTATGGCAATCATAATCACATGTCTAGTTTTTCAAATGAATTGTGGTGGAGGAAAAGCTCCACCCTTTCCTTGCTTGAAATAAACAGAATAACGAATGCATTAAAATAATAACTGTTATCTGAAGAGAGATTATTAGTTTTTGTCTTTTATTCTTTGCTTTTGTCACATTGATTCTTTTTTCTTATTAATTTTATTGTACAATAAACAGTTGGTTGAACGTTAGCCTATTTCATGTTACTTCTGTTAATATAGTTTATCTTTATTTCGGTTTTTAATCTATGTTTTTATGTTTTATACAACAGATAGTCCAACAGCACTGGGACTATTACTGTTTCTGTCTGTATAGTAGGATTTTTATATATATTTTTTTCATTGTCAGTAGGCATTCATGTTAGATGAGATTGAGGTATGACATAATATTCTTCTATAAGTTGTATTGTAAGTAAACCTCATTGGTTCTTGCACATCAAGCCGGCACCTTTGATCTTCTGTTTACTATATTTGATTTGCTCTATGCATGTGCATCGATTAGCGGATATATGGGAATAAAAGCATAAATTAAATCTGTTCATTACATTAAGCGATCGTGTCTCTTCAGAAGACTTTAAACTGCTTGATTTATATGCATTTCTCTGATGATCTTTTTATGAACTTTGTGAAGCATCAAAGAATTGGTGTAATGGACTTTCAATTGGAGGAACAAAACTCTCAGGTTTCATTAAAAATATCTTAATTTGTGTTTTTTAAAGATTAACTACAGTAAATGGTTTCAGAACAACATGAGGGTGAGTAAATTATAACATTTTTGTGTTTTAGTTTAACATTTATGTGACTTTCGTAAGTAATGTTGGTGCACCCTACAGTGGTGCATATGAGGCATATGGCAAGATGACAGAGTGAATGTTTCTATTTACTGTATGCCCATCTACAGGCAATGTCTGTGGTGGCTAAAAATGAATGTGGGATAGTTTTACACATCATAGCGCAGTCTTAGATGTGCACCCTGTAATACCATATACCAAAACAATATTTTGTTTTTAAAATGACACAGCAGTTACTATCCTTGCATTAAGTAGATAAACAAAATGCAAGAGTCTCTGCATTAGTGGTTATCAGAAAAGCCCCTCTCCAGAGCTGTGGTTCAGGCAAAAATAAATAAGTAAAAAATACTGTTTTATTCACGTTGTAGGTTAAAAGGTTGAATGAGAGGGTGCCCTTTAGTGCAAGGGGCTAGACCAGGGGTGGCGAACGTCGGTCCTGGAGAGCCGCAGCCCTGCAGAGTTTTGCTTCAACCCTAATCAAACACACCTGAACAAGCTAATCAAGGCCTGAAGGGTTACTAGGAAGCTTCAGGCAGGTGAGTTTTTATTAGGGTTAGAGCTGAACTCTGCAGGACTGCGGCTCTCCAGGACCGGAGTTCGCCACCCCTGGGCTAGACTATGGGAAAGCTGATTCATTACTCTAAAATTAGCCCCCGTGTACTGCTCTGGCCTTAGGTGCTGGCTAGGGGAAGTCCTGCTTTTATTTAGGGAAGCATTGCTGAGCTTTCAGTGACTTTTCTGGTGTACCAAATGGATCTTTGCACACACTGGTTGAGTGTGTTGAGCTGCAAAGTAGGAGTTTCTTAAAAGTAAATGTGGTTAAATAGAGAAGAATGAAACCGACAAATTAAGGTTAAATCTGTAACCAGAGCCAGAAATGAAAACGCCCAGTGTGGGCAAAATTATTTCATGCTGTAATCAAAGTAGGCTATTATTTAAACAATATTATTTTGAGTCTGAAGTTAATTTCCTTGTGGAAAATAAGATATCTCTATTAGGAGTGAAAAATATATTCAATATTATTGCAAAATTTATTGCAATACAAAAATGTAACAATATGTATTGTGGAGAGTGACAATTTGTATTGTGTATAGTTCACCCAAAACGAAAGTTTAAAATATAAATTTAGCATCAAATATGGTAAACACAAATTGGCATACATTTAAGCTTCCATGTTAATTATTATTAATAAATGAAAAATAAAATACATTATTTAATAAAATACAATATCTACAACTTTTTAAATGTGTGTAATCAGGGACAGAGTGCAAGCATTTGTGTCTAACATGATACTGTACTTATTAGCTAAGAGAATTATGAATATTTCTATTTTGGTGGCACCATACATGGGCAAGAAGGACATAATCTAAACCTACTCAGGTCCACCCCAATACCAAATTGAGAATTTTGTTTAACAGCACTTTTTGTTGACTGATTATCATATGTCTTAGAAGAATGAAACAAATAATAACTCTACCATTTAACTCTATTTTGGCTTTGTTTAAAATATAATGAGATCAGTATCTAACTGATTCGTTGTTACTCTTCTAATATCTGTATTATGTTTTTGTACTTAAAATGATGATTAGTAATGTACAAGTTGTGAACATTAATCATTTGTTTTATGGAAAATCTTGGAAGAACACCTTTAAAGTAATTTGTTTCTAGATTGAGTTTTGTTATAAAATAAGAGTTGAGATTTGACCCGCACATGCACACACTTCATCTCGTGCCAGAATGGCCTCCAGTGTGTTAGAAACATGAAAGCTGAGCCTCAAACTAAACAGATAAATATACATGACAGACATGCACAATACTATTCACGGCTGCTCAGGCCAACATACTTGGAAAGTTTTAAATCAAGAGGTCAACTCTGCAAACAGCTGTTATTTTCTATTGTTTAAAACCAGCTTTTTTTTCTCTCTTAAACAGACACAGAATTGTTATTGTCCTTTAAGTTTGTTGTTTCTAAATGTCTCTACAAAAAAAGTACACTGCAGCAGTTAAATGTAAAGATTTGTGTCTAAATTTGTTATTGGATGTGTTATAGCCTAGTCCACGCTGAGCAGTGCTGGATAAAGTGCTTGAAAGCCACACTTAAGTAAAAGTATAAATATCTTACCAGAAAATGACTTTGGTAGAATCTAAAGTCACCGTTTAGAATATTACTCGAGTAAAAGTTCTAAAGTATGTGATAATTATTGTACTTAAGTATGAAAAGTGATTTTTATATATATATATATTTGGGTTAGCAAGAGACACTTGGAATCTGCATCTGACAACCTGAAGTGGCATTTAGATTAATTTACACATACGGTTTAATGCAGCTCATAGGGGACATGGATGCATTTAACCAGCAGTTACAAATGCATAAATAATGATTTGTTTTAAACATAAAACGTTGAATGTTGGTATTTGAAAAGATACTTGAAATGTGAAATTAAAGCCGCCAGTAGGTGGCAGCAAGTCACTGTTAATGAGCGAGTCATTGAGATTATATCGATTCATTCAAAAGGTTGATTCATTCTTCATCCTTCGGGAATTGATTGGATCATTGGAAGCTCGGGCGTTGCTAACAAAATGGAGGCAGATCTGAATGCCGGTTTGCAGTTAGTGGTGGGGGATTTCTCTCCACTGGATTCACAGCCGACACCCAAGCATGAATAAATGTTTTATTTATTAAGGATGACGAAGATCAACAGCACAAAACATGCCTAAACAGCGTGCGCGAGGGAGAGAGAGAGAGAGAGAGAAAGAGAGAGAGAGAGAGAGAGTGTCGTTTATCCCAGCGTTTACCCCTCACGTGCCATAGCTCCTGACTGGAAGAGAAGATGAGTCGTTTTGAGGGGGAGGGGAGGTTAACGTTTTTGATTAAAGATTATGAGGGCACATGAATTAAAAAATAATAATGAAGTGCACAGATTAATTATTTATAATAAACACTACAGTATTCCATTAAAAAAATAAGAATTTTCCATTTTGATTTCATGGTGACTTTAAATCAATTAATTCAAAAGGTTGATTCATTCAGGAATGAAACATTTGACTATTTTAATGAGCGAGTCACTGAATCATTCGTTGAAAAAAACTGATTCATTCAATAAGGAAACACCGTCCTGTGTTGCTCAGCGGCACAAAACAGTGCTCTTTGGAACTATTTTCATTGAGGAAAAACGTAATACTAACTTTGTTAAACTTGTATAAAATCAATATTACATTTGTTATCATGCTGATATCTGGAGAAAATGGCACTCTTGTAGATTAACTATATTAAATGATATAAATATAAAAGACATACAGAGTCATTTTGCCTCTTATCTTGAATGGGCATTCTGAATGCATTTGAATAGACTAAATCTCTGGGTGTTTTTTTTTATTTTGTTTGTTTGTTTACTCCATAATGTCAGATCACACATCTTTAAAACAGCACTTATGATATTAGCGCAGACGATATATCGCAGCCTTGACTACAATTAAACTTGTTTGCACAAAGGGTTTTTTAGGAGTCAACTTGCAAGCGCCAGAACGCTGGTTCTCAAACCTGCTTTAGTTTGCAAGTACAAACCTTGCGGTCTGTTTTCTTCTGATTTTATTTTGTAAGTAACGAAAATGTTTCGGGGAAATGTATCGGAGTAAAAGTATACATTTTATTAAGGACAGATAGTGAGGTAAAAGTGAAAGTTGACAGAAATATTAAAACTCAAGTAAAGTTCAGATTCTCCCAAAATTACTTACTGTAACGAAGTATTATTACTAAGTTACATTACACCACTGATGCTGAGTAAGTGAATGGGGATGCCCAGTCTTCATATTGCATGTTGGATCTTGCCCACAGGGCACTGGGTTCATAGGCAGGTATGGGAAGAAAACTGACTAGTAAACTAAAAGCCAAAAAAGGGTTTATACACATTATTTTGACTGGTTATACAAAACAATTATTTAAAACATTTATTAAAAATATTTTTTATAAATATTCTGAATTAAATTCAGAATAAAACAACTTTTAGAGTAAAAGAATATAAAAAAAACAAGTTATGAAGTGGAAAGGAGAGCAGTGAAAACACACAGCAGTATATATAATTTGCTTTGTACTCCATTGAAAGTTGAACATCTAAATGCTTGGTAGATGTGCTGACAGGGTTTGGCACGGCTAGAGGTGCCATTACA